CAAAGGAGGCAATTTCGCCTCCTTTCTTGCCCAAATTAAATTACCGCCTAAGGGTGGGGTCCACGAGATTTGAATTTATTTGAAAATTATTTTTAGGAAAGATTTGAGGAGGTGGAAAAGTCTTTAAATAGGAGAGGTAAGGGGTAGGGAAGGGCATGCAAGTATTGTTTTCTTCTTGGAGTTTCTTGGGTGTTTTGGGCTCTAGACTCTCTTGTCTAGAGATTTGGGAGAGACGATCCTCCTCTCGAATTGAGGATCACTTGTATCTTGATTTCGTGTTGCTTTTGCTTTGTTTCCCTTATTGCAATTTAGTTATTTGGGGCTGATTTCGCCCAGATTTTGGCTGAATTCTCGCTGTTTTATCTCCAATTAGTGATAGGTTTGCTTGCGAACTCAAGTATTCCCTTAGGGTTACTTGCGAACTCAAGTATTTCCTATCAGATACCATTTCAAACTTGATTGGTCTACCTCTACCCTCCCTAATGTCAACACCTTCAATGCATCTAACCAGTGTGACTTTACAAATAGCTAAAACCATGGTTTGTAATGTTGCATCCGTAAATAAAAATAAAGGAAATTCAGCAGAACAAGCAGACTATTTGAAACACAGGCCAAATAGCTATCCAATCACGTGATGCCCACCAGTGACTAAGGCTTCATTTGGGATGGCTTTCTTCCTGCTTCTTAAAGCAATTTTCTAGTATAAAAATTATTATTTTTTACTAGAAGCTGCTTTAAAAAGCAATAAAAAAGCCGTCCCAAACTAAGCTTAAATTTCATATAACCAAAAACTGCAACAGTGAAGCAATGCTGCAGCAAAACAGAATCAAACAGAACTATATAATTTCTCAAAGTGCACCAACTCTCAAGAACTAGGGTAGAGAGTTAAGATGTAACAGTAACTGGAAGTAGTCATAAAACATCTAGTATAACGAACAATAACCCTAATTTACTAAGTTGAAGATTTATATGCATTTACCACGTCCCAAGGGCGTGAAGCTTTTGCTGGATCATCATTCCGCTGTGAAAGTGCTCTGCATGCAACAAAACCTCCCAATCCTGAAACATGTGAATCCAGAACCACAATGAATCCTTTTCAGAAAGAAAACCTTAAATACATGCAAAATCAACCCATAAAAGTGCATAATAATATAAAATATTAAATCATGCCAACAGTAAAACTTAGGCTTCATTTTGGATGGCTTTTTTAATGCTTCTTAAAATAATTTTTTAGTTTAAAATTTTAAATTTTTATACTAGAAAACTGTTTTAAGAAGCAATAAGAAAACCGTCCCAAACTAAGCCTTAATATATTGTATAAAAATAGAGAGATGGCACACTACCAATTGGAATAATTGCTGCGTCTGAGCCACCACAAAGCATCATGTTCTGTATAAAAAGCATGTAATAAAAAAGGCAACGAAGAAGAAAACAGCAGAATGTATTGAAATACTTCTATCAAGAGAATAAGAACAATACATGGGCAACTTACAGCTTCCCCTCTTATAATATGATTTGCTGCATTCAGAATACAGAAGTTGCTAGTAGCACAAGCAGTTGAGATCGAGTAATTTGGGCCCATCCATCCCTAAAATCCCCACATTGGAAATGATATATTATGATTTAAAAATCTAACAACAAATGGTAACAAAACAAATTTAAAAGTGTTTTTGTCCTAGCCCACCAGGTCCATTGCAAGCATAGCAGAACCCATATTCGTTGTTGCAAATGGTACACAAAATGGGTTCATCTTCTTGTATGATACCCGCAACGCCTCAATAGCATCATTAAAAACCTGTTTGTTTGAATATTACTATCAGGTCAAATGTAAAAATTCGGGGACATTAGAAAAAGCATAAAACCATCCATTAATCAAAACCACATAATAAGGTGAAACATCTTCATTTCAGAATAAAAACTATGAAACATACAATTTCTTTCGGAACATGAATTCATTACTTTAGGGCTATAAATAAAATAAAAAATTCTACCTTCATTCCTCCCATTGCAGAACCTATGAGAACTCCACATCTAGACTTGTCCAATTGGCTCAGTACCTCTTCTGTAACACCACCATCTGCCAGCGCCCTTTTGCCGGCGGTGAGCAAGTAAAGCATGAATTTGTCCATTCGCTTGGACAATTTTGGTGCAACCCATCCATCTGTTGAGAAAGACTTTATTTCTCCAGCAATTCTCTGTAAGAAATATCCAAAAGAGCGCTCAGAATGTTCTGTTCATTCAAGGACACTGACCCATGGTTTGTGTGTGTGTGTGTGAGAGAGAGAGAGAGAAAGAGAGATATTTGTGTTGTAATTTCCAACGCAGATGAAATTACCGTAGGATAATTAGCACAGTCAAATGCTTCAATCTCACTTATGCCGGAAACACCATCAAGGAGATTATTGTAGAACACATCAGGATCATGACCTAATGGAGTCACCACACCCATCCCAGTAACAGCAACTCTCCTCTGTTTAGCATTTAGTATTTTCTTTTCTGCAACCGGCTTTGCAGGTTCAACAGCCACAGCCAACGATTTTCCTGTTGTGACATAAAAGCACTTAATTCGATCACTGTACAATCACCATAAGCAAGCGAGAAAACAGGTGGGATGTTCTTCCAAAATTAAGTTTTTAGGTTTGTAACAGCAAAAGGATCTTCAGCTTAAGTGACAAATAGTTGACATATCAAGGAATTTTCTAGCTTGGTCAGGTGGCCGAGTAGATAATTTTCAGCTGACATATCATGGAATCTAATATGTTCGTTCCAATTATTTTTTACCAACTTCCTTAAAAGGCCATTTACGAAAGAATACTAGAGAATATAAATCCTTGTTCATGCCAGTGTCGTGAAACCAAAAAGTACCAGAAACTTTTTTTTCAGATTGAATGATATAATCACCAGAAAACACACGCCCAAAAACCCATAAGCAGGAAAGCAAACACGGAGCCTTTAAAACCAAGAAAAACGTCCAAGGCAATACCAAGAACCCAACAAAAACTCCAATTAGGAGAAAACTATTAAGAAAACAAAATTAAAAAAATCCGCAAAAATTTCTGCACATAAATTATAGAAAATGAATCACCTGAGGCCACGGAAGGACGCGCCAACATCCTCTGCCTTCGATTGGCCTCGGCCTTCGAACGCCTAATCAGCAAAAACCCATTCTCCCCAAAAAAGGGCGACGCATTTCTCGACTTGTAGAATTCCGGACACGGCTCTAAGGAACTCATCAGTCCCTGAATCCCCGATCCGCAAAACGCAGAGATCAAACTCCCAGTAGAATCTCGTCCTTCCATTCCAATTGCTCCCCTCGCCGCTACCGCCGTCCTCCTCCTCGCCCACCTCCCCGCCGACGACCTCGCCGCCCGATCCTTTTCACACGAGACCGACATGCACGCTGCCACAAGCCACGTACAGAGAGGAGAAGCCACCGAAGCCGCCATTGGAGCAAAGAAAGGACAGGCAGAATAAGTAACGATGGATTTCAACCAAGAAGCCAAGAGCAACAATGATTCGGAGGATTAACGAAAAAAAATGTCGCCTTGACGGGTTTTGCGAGGGGAGAAGAAGATTCCAACAAGGAAATGAAAAGACTCTGCGATTCCAGATTGAAGCTATAGCTAGCTCTCACGAATCTGAGTGCCCTCGAGCACCAACCATTGCCCAAGTGCTCAACAGCGAGTTTTCAATTTTCATTGCGCTGTTAAGAAAAAATAAAATAAAGTAAAGCAAAATAAGCGGCTGAAGGCAGCTGAGGAAAAAACATCGAAGCGAATCCACAACCAGAATATATATATTCTTCTTTTTTTCTTTCTTTCTTTAAATAAAAAAATTCCGAATAATATAGTCAGAAAATAGTTATTGAGATTCTTTTTTAATAGAAATTTCTTTTAGCCCATTTTTTGTCGGAGTTGAACACCGCCGCTGAGCCTATACGGCTATACGGACTGGCAATCCTGGAAGAGGTTTGAGCCAAGTAGCCAACAGCCTATTCGGCTGTTTTTTTGTTTTTTACATTGGAGCTAATTAAATTAAATTAATATAGATGTGTTAATATTTGGAGAAATTATTCTATGCGGATGCCGAAGGGAGTCTGCCGTCTAGAGATCAATCAGAATGCGCCAGAGGTCAGTAATACCGAGCCGCTTTACTAAGCGATATTGAGTCGGGTACCAATCAGGGGGTGACGTGACGTATTTTGGTTGGTCTTTGGACAACGTTCAGCATCTGCATAGAATAATTTCTCCAATATTTGACACGATCTGAAAACTCGACGAACCTAAGCTGAAAACTCTGGGTTGGGATTAATCCGTTTGTCAAAAGTGTCGGATTTGGGTTGACCCAGCAACCCAACAATAACCCGGACCGACCCGAAATAACGCCTGCCGATTTGATTCTCGCCCGCAATCGCGACTTGCAAGTCAACTCGGCCTCCAACTCGCAGACTCCGCCGACTGTTGTCCCGCAACCCCGATGTCCCGTCGACGACGACATTCCTTCATACCCATAGGCTAAACCTTAGGCTGCTAGTCGCTCGTGGCAATCCTTCCTAATCTAAACCCTAGGCCGTCCATCTCGTCAACCACATTCCCTCCTGCCGACGACATTCCTTCATGTGAATCATGTCCAGTCCAACGGCTTCGACGATAGCAACGAGAAGAGTAGACGACGACGTTCTTCCTCCCATTCACGCGCTTTTTCGGCCTACCCTGTTTCGTGTCGGTTCAATCCGGAAACACAACTAGTCTTGTCCGGGTTGGATTTTATGACCCGCTTGCAAAAACAGGTCGTGTAAAAAAATGTCGAGTCAGTTCCGAATTCAACCTGAATCCGACCCGCAACCTGTGCCACCAAGATGATCGAAAAAAGTGACAATTATTTGTGCGACAATTAATAAGTACATTTTAACCGATAACACGTACTCTTATTTTATAAAACCTCTCAATCTTGTTTGTCTAACTTCTTGGATTATCATTAGTGTAACGGAATTACAAGGGGATAATTCTTTGAATAAGACAAGGACTTGGGCTTGATGACAACTTGAAAGCACTGACAACCTATGCTTGAGCTCTATATCACCATGCAAAGAAGAACGAATGAGCCTAACAATTCATTTGAGACACTTTTTTGCCGCTTTCTAGAGCAAAATTTTAGTACAAAAATCTAAATTTTTAGACTAAAAAACTGTTTTAAGAAATAGTAAGAAAGCCGTCCCAAACGAAGCCTAAGTTGAGGGGTAGATGGGCAACGTGGTCGGCTAAAGATGATATGGCAAGCCGAAAGTCGCTTGAGTAAGCATCTTCCATATAATTGAAATGGCGAGTCAGATCAATGATGCCTCATTGTGATGGATAGCAAGTATACAAGATAAATAAAATATATGATTGATTAATTATTATTTATTTTATAATTGTTTTAAATAGATTATTACAATATATTTATTTTAATTTTTTTAATTAAATTTAAATTAGAATAATTTTCTCCAGACAATTAAGATAAACTCACACATAAATCACATACCAAGATGAGCTACATAATGATACTCGATATAGCCTTGCAACTAATTACTCATTTTCCTATTACTTAACTCTATAAGCATATTAATTTCAAAGACACAATTAGCTAAAGATAATCAACCAGAAAGTGACATTTTCACTTGTTCTCCCACCTACTAAGGTTTTGGTTGGGATGACTTTCTTATTGTTTTTAAAGCAGCTTTTTAGTACAAAAAAGTTGCTTGAATAAACAGTAAAGAAACCGTCCCAAACGAAGCCTAAAGTAGTTCTTGATATATCCTAAAAAATTATCTTGATCAGACACAAATCTCGTGGCCAAATTAAGTTGGAAACTTCTAAAATTAAATTTGGAACCATCCAAACTCTGATTCCAATAAACTTATAATTGAACTGAACGTCTTGAAAAAAAACAAACCCAACAACACCAAATTTGACCCAATCTAAGACCAAATGCATGGGTCCAAATCGAAGACCCGACCCAAAGCACATTTAGAAGGTTCAAGTCATAAATTGGATGACCAAACGGTTTCCAAACGTGACATACTTATAATTGAATCGAGCAACTCAACGAGACGAATCCAATGAGCCTAAGATTGTTGAATTCTAACATCACTAAGGCACTCAAATATGTGATAAATGGTTCATGATTAAAGGAGCATATATCGGCCGTCCATTCAAAACACTCCCAAAATTCCCTTGATCTCCTCCCTAATCAATGGCCATATCACTCCCAAAAAACTTTAAATGACCCCTCATTCTTCACATGAAGCGGGACTAAGCAAGGAAGGAGGGATGAAGGAGGAAGCAGGGGAGAAAGGAAGAGAAAGAAGAGAGGAGAGGAAGAGAAATATGAGATCTCTCTTGCCACCAAGATCCTTCTCAACCACTGCTCGGCCACCGATTTTTGCTAGACTTACTCCCAGCCACCGATTGTCGCCGGACGTCTGCCCGGCCACCATCTATTGCGGGATTTACGTCAGACCACTGACCATTGTTGGACTTTTGCCCTGCCACCAATTATTGTTGGACTTATGCCCGTCCATCGACAATTGACGGACTTCCCCCCTGATAACAATCACCCAAATAGTGGTCTTTCTAACCACTGTCACCTGCCAAGAAAGGTCCTTTTGACCTCCTTCGTCATACTACTATCTTTTTTACCTCCGTCGCCCATCGACTACGATTTATCTGATCTTCATCGCCAGATAACAGTCCTTCCGACCTTCATTGCCAGACAAAAATTTTTCTGACCACTATCAACTACAATCCTTCTGACCTCCATCACCAGACCATGATCTTTTTGACCTTTGTCACCTGTCAATTATTGTCCTTCCGACCTCCATCGCTAGACAACGGTATTTTTTGCTACTATCATGCCACTAACTATAGTCCTTCCGACCTCTATTGCTAGACAACCATCCTTATGACCTTTGTCGTACGCCGACTACGGTCCTTCCAACTTCCGTCGCAAGACAACAGTCTTTCTGACCACTGTCACCCACCGACTACGGTCCTTCCGACCTTCGTCGCAAGACTACGATTTTTCTAACCACGATCGCCTGCCAATTATGGACCTTCTAACCTCTATCTCCAAACTACGGATTACGGTCTTTCCAACCTCAATCACCTACCGACTAAGATCCTTCCAACCTCTGTCACCAGACAACGGTCTTCTGACCAGTGTCGCCCGTCGACTATGGTCATTCCGACATCCATCGCCAAACTATTTTCCTTCCAACTTTCGTTGTCAGACTATGGTCTTTCCGACCTCTGTCGCCCGTGGACTATGATCCGCCTGACTTTCATCGTCATACAACAGTCTTTTTGACCACTATCGACTGCTTACTACTTATGATGGAGGTCGAAAGAACCATAGTCGACAGGTGATGGTGGTTGGAAGCATCATATTTGGATGACGTCAACTCATCTCATAACTCAAGGTTAGGGAGAAGATAATTTGCTGAAGAGATTTTCAAACTTCAAAAGAATCGTCCCCTTAATATAAATTGAATAACAAAGAATGGTCCATCAATGTCTGGCGATGATTGGAGTCGAACATTGGCAAATGTCTAGAAATATTTAGTTATTGTGAACATCTAACATCTGACGACGGTTGGTGGTCGGAGGCCAGCGATGCTCGATGGTCGAGAAGAGATCCGGCTTGTGGTGGAAGCTTGAGAAAGGAAGAGAAATCTTTCATTTTTATTTTCTTCCTCCTCCATTTATGAAGAATGATGTGTCTATTGATAATTTTTTTTTAGAGTGACATGACTAGTAAATAGGGAAAAGATCAATTGTATGTTGGGAGTGTTTTAATGGACGACCGATATGAACTCCCTCGATTATGAATTATTTCTCAAGGATTTGATTGTTTTAATGATGTCAGAATTTGATGATCTTGAGTTTTTTTGGATTTGTCTTATCAAGCCGCTCGATTTGACTGTAAGCATGTCACATTTGGATATCATTTGGTCATCCAATTAATGCTCTCAAGCTTTCAAATATGCTTTGGGCCCTCAATTTGGATCTGTTTGGGCTCGTATTGGATTGATTTTGGTTTCGTTGGGCTCTTCTCTTCAAGATGTTCAGTTTAACTAAAAGTTTTTAAACTCGAAATCCGGATGGTCTAAAATTTAATTCTAGAAATTTTTATTTATATTTACATCAAGATTCGCATCAGATCCAGACAATTTTTGATGACGTATCAAGAACTAATTTGTGTTGTTAGTAAATGCTTTAAAATTAATTATCGTAATTTATAATTTTTTTCCTATATTACATTTGTGCAATACTAAACCTTTGAGAACAAAAATATCATGCTATAATTCCTGAATAAATGAAAACAAACTCTTAAAGCTAAGCGGCATAAAAGATTTTTCTTCTTTTTTTTTATCAAATTTAATAAGATAAGTTGCTTAATTATTGTACCATTAACAAAAATTATTTTAATAATATTATTCGAATATTCATAAATATTTGATACGTTTCTTATATAAAAATCTTTCAAAATCAGCACAAATCTCAAAGGTCAATGAACTTTGCCAAATAAAGTTAAAATATTTTACCAAGCACTAACATTATAATTGTGTTTTAAAAACCCATTAACATTGGTATTAAATGTTAATATAAACTGATATATTAACATTGATATGACCCATGAAAATCCACTTTGATCTTGATAAATTTCAAAGCAATATTTGAATTAAAATTTTAAAATTAAATTCTTAATCATCCAA